TACCTACATTCCTACGCGTTAAACCATTAGACTACCTACCGAGGTTGTATTTTGTATGAAAAATATACTATTTAAACAAGTAAAATTATGGGACATGGATTGTATTTCATTATTGGAAGTTTTATAGAGCCCGCAAAACACTGTTTCTCATTGTCACAATCTTCGCATATTCCCCAATTTGTGTTAGGTACAGTAATAACTAATAATGATTTTACCTTTATATATATAATATATTGTATGCATATAATATATAATAAATGTACCTATATTATTATATTATAATAGGTATATTTATTTTCCTACTTTGGAGGTGATGTATTTACTGGTCTCCAGGATTATTGGACTCTCTAAAGTCATGTACCTATTATATATTTTTAATTATTTAACATWTGTAAATACCTATATAWACATTATACAGGGTGATTGATTTATTATAAAACACTCACTATTTCAAAAAGTATTGACTTTTTCAAAATATTTTTTTTACATACCAACGTTTTTATTAAAAAATTATATTTTTAAATATTTTTAATCCTTATCATTTTTTATGTTTTTTAATTTTTTGAATGACAACATAGAGTTTTAATTTCATATTCCAGAGCAGAATATTTTTCTAAGTATTTTGATATATAAAAATCGAATTTGGAGCTAGTAGTTTATGAGTTATAAGTATTTAAAGTTTAGATTGGAAGAGTGGAGTGGTACGGGGTTACCCCGCAAAATGTTTGTCCACTACTCCGCTAATCCAAATTTTAAATATTTATAACTCATAAACTACTTGCCCTAAATTCAATTTTTATGTATCGAAATACTTAGAAAAATCTTCTGTTTTGAAATATCAACGTTGGATATTGAATCAATACATGCATCAGAAAATATATACATGACATTACAACAAACTCTGAAGAAATCAAAATATTATCTTAAGTTGTGTAATCATTCAGCCAAAAATTGTGGGCATTTTTACAAATGTTTATTTTGATATCATAAATGTTGATTTTATTTCGAATCTCAATGATCTGGGGACAACAAAAGCTAACAAGATAAAAAGGATTATTTAGAATTTTTTTGTTTTTCTAAATATAGTGGTAAAATCGTTCCAGAATAATAGTGAGTCATCAACATTTTATTGAAACTTAATTTATGGATTTATGATGGATCGTGTTTAGATCGAATTATTTCAAGCTATTAAATTTTTTAAAATAAAAAAAAAATACTCACGCTATTTACATGTATTTGGCATTTATCCAACATAATATCAATATCACATTATTTATATTATATAGAAAATAGATTCAATAATAATACAATCAATAATATTTGAACGGAATTGTCAGGTGACAGGTATATTAATACCGTGTCGATCGCAAGGTGACTGATAGATAATGATATATGATATAATATCCGGTGTGGACTTCTGTTATTCAATTTGTATTCATAAAAATTATAAAATGACGCACTTGAGCAATAATTCATTACTAATGAGGTTTAATCACAGTTAAAAAGTTGTATTCTTGTATTTACTAAAACTTTTTTCATAAATAAAATTTATTTATACATTAAATTATTTTATTCGATAAAAATGCATACTTGATAGCTTTAAATAATGAAAATATTTAATAGTGAATTTTACACTAATAACACTTAAAACAAATTGGAACAAAATAAACTTTACAATAGTTTTAGAGTTGAGCGATTATATCCTATATAGTCCGATAATAATAAATTATGAAATGTTTATAAAAGTACCTGTTATAATTCTATACAGGTTTTTTTTTTATATAGAATCTTGTTTATTTGTTTTTTTTATTAAACAAAATATACAAATGCATTATAATCATGATAACTTTATGTTTAAATCCAAAAAAACCCACATTATTTTAAATCATTGGAATTTATTTCTATTTTCATTAAATTCACCTTTGTTTTTAAATAATTAAGTTTGGTACCTACTTTAATCCGTTATATAGCTCCGAACAATTTTATTATACAACTTAACAGTAAAAATATTTTTACCTAATGGTTCAATTTTAATCATTTAAATAACTAATATAATACTATAACAACTTAGTTTAATTGATATCTTAAATTATTTTACGTGGCTTATAAACTTAATATGCGTTTAATATTATTTTAATTATTTTTTAATCTCGATATCTAACTCGAGGTACGATTGAAATTTATAAATGACTTTAAATCTATTTWTAAGAAACTATACGATTTACTATATACTATTAGTAGGTAGTTATAAATAATTACTTACCAATAAGTGTGAGAATAATCGAAGAGCTAACATAAGCTACAAGTATAATAACCAAACTAGCCATAATGGCCAGTGGAATAGATTTTTTCGGGTTATGAGCTTCTTCGCCGGTGGTAGCGATGATGTCAAATCCAATAAAAGCGTAAAAACAAGTTGCCGCCCCTTTAAATACCTGTTAACAACAAAATAAATGAAAATTAAATAAATAGCTTTCAAGGCAACATTAATAATTTAAAAGCTATCAAACTATAAAGAGTATTTCGGAAAACATAATAATTTTAATTAGGTTTGAGTCATTGAAACACCATCACARATACACATATATTATTCATTTGTTTTATAAATATTATAAATATACGAGATTTTTATTAGCATAGATAATATTCTGTATGAAATAAAAATATTAGAATTAAAATAAAATATGTTGATGTGTTTTGAATCGTGTTTGATGTATCAGCATCAAATAATCATCAATTACTTGAAAATTTTGAATCACATTATGAATCAATTAAAATACGTCTCTTAATAATTATTAAAAATTGTATTAGAATTAATATTCTATACAATTATTATTAGTATATTTTGGAAAATTTTTGGAAGAGTGAAAAGATCTTTGTACTTATTCCATAAATTTATGGTCAACAACTCTTATTATGTTAACTATTTTATTTATTATTTTTTAAACGTATTTACGTATTCTTTGAAAATTGCTTCTCATATTATATGGATTCATAAATTTATCATACGTATCTTCACTCCCGGAATACCTCTGTCACGAGTCTATAATGTTTCATGAATTTGTTTTCATTTTACTCTGTATCTTTAAGATAGTATATTTTTTATATTGTTATGTAATAAAAATATACTTTATGAAATTAAATTTATTTGAACTATATATTTGAAAAAAAAAAAAATGTCCAATAATAAATAATGTGTATTTTACCAATAATTCTATTTTTAAAATTATTTATCTATTGAACAAAATCCTTAAAAACAAAATACATTAATTTTATAACATAGAGTATTGTAATAATATGAAATTATCTTATGTTTGGTACTGGTTATTTATAATTTAAATTTGATTCAACTGTTATTTTATATTATAACAATTATACTTAGTTAATGTTTCCTATATTTCGTTCTGAAAATGCGTATAAAGTAATTATTTAGTAATTTTCTTAGTAAATTGAATTTTGACCAATCACATTGATATTTGATTCGTTTTTAAATTATTCCACRTTAAGCCAAATATAACATATATTTCGGTTTTTTAGAGTTTAAAAATGTAAAAGAAAGCGTGATTGAGCGTACAGGAGTGTATGGACCACTGGTATGGTTATCTTCCGATTAAATGATAAATAACTGAATTTTATTAACGATGCAAGGCCAAGATTATACATTCCGAAAAAGTAAATATAATCTCTCTTGTTTTTCGCTATATTTGAAATAAAAAAATTAAAAATAAACATGGGAATATTACATTATATAAGTWATATACTAATATAATAAATTAAAATCAATATCTAAATAATAAAAATGCATTTTCATTATTTTTGGAAGTGCTCAGAAATTCAAGCTTTTGTATTTTCCTTAGAAACTGAATATTCAAAATCTAATTTAACACAAAATCATTTCATAAGWCATAGAATACAAAATATCCATAAAATTGTATTAAACGATATCATACATTTTGTTTATAAATCAACAAAAAATATATTAAAATTAAACAATACATATTGTTTAATAATACAAAGAACCTTCCAGTACTTATATCCCCAGGGTCATGTATATTTAGAACTTCATCATGGACTTAACAAGGTTTTATTGTGTATAGAATTAATACTATTTATAGAAAGATAAACATTATTTTTTTTATAGTAACAATAATAATTGAGTATATATAAGTATAGAATAATAAAAATATTATAGTTTTTTAAATATTTTATATGTTTTGGAGTTAATTCACATAGTATTATAAATGTATAAATATATATTTTACAAAAAAAAAAAAAAAATTGCATAGCTACTTAAAATTCTAGTAAAATATATGAATTCACAATATTATATTTCATTTATTTTATTGCATAAGGTTTAGAGCTCTGGTTATATATATTATTAGTATTACAACCGTTATATGCTGTTATGCAAAGATTTTACTGAGTTAAAACTATCAGCAAGCATATTCGGTGGCCTCATCATATACAATATTACCATTCGTTTGTGAACATAAATGAAACTTAAGCATACAAGCTATATACATTTAAATGTAATTTAATTCAAAACATAATAAAAATACATATTAGGTTACATATTACATTTTAATTTAATTTTAATATGCCCATCAAATAATATGGTTTTTTATTTCTATAACACTCGTTAGTCGTTTGGAAAAAAAAGTAAAAATAATATTATCACAGACTGTGATGTTATCACAAGTGACAAAAGTGACTTGTCACGGAATGCCTAGCAGATGAGAATCATCGAAAGTTATTTTAATTTTAAATGCGTATCATATGTTTTGCGCGTGTGGCTTTTTGTGCTTTCCACGAAATGCTTCGTGTGATCACCACGCCGACTAACGGTTTCAGCAGCCGCAATAGATGTTTCAAATCACAAAAAAAAATATAATGTCTTATGATAAAATTATTTCATACAAATACCATTTAATGATCGTTCAAGCATATTGTTGTACGAGCATAATGTTATTACGAGCCGATTTTATCTGACAACCCGTCATTGTTGTGTTACATTTATCAACCTCTAAAGATTTATACAGGACTGTATACAAACGTCCATTGGAGTTTAACAGGTAATCAAATATTTAACAAGCCCTTAACATCAAACAGTAACCACGATTGGTACATTAAATTTTAACTAGACGTTAAATTATAAAATTGTTGGACGACCTAACATTAAACTTTTAAACTTAATTTGTCGACATTATATCAGCGTGCAATGTGTCTAAATCCACTACCTAGAATTAATTATGTAATTTAATTTAATTTTCTTCGTTCGTTTTCTCTCTAAGGTGGGGCAATAAATATAATAAGTGACCTAATTACGGTCCTTATATTCTGGCATGTCTTATTGCTATAACGAAGTACAATAATTGTTCAAAATCAATTCAAATTTATCGATAATTTATAAATATATATTATTATTAAAAGTATAGAGTGTCAATACAATCATTGTAAATGATCTTAAATTGAAATTKAAAAAAACTAGTATAAGCCTAATAACGTTATCTGAAGAAAATAATATGATTAATGAACTAATAATGTTCTGTTATTAAATTTACTCGAATCCAGCTTAATGTTCCGACAAATAATTTTAATTTTATTCATTTTTAACTTCTCTTAATTTTCAGATCCGATAAGCTCATCTTTCACATTAGACCATACATAAAAACCAATATAGTTTATTACATTTATTAGTCGTAAATTATTAATATAGTTCTCCAAGATTGAAACGCACAGATATGAGGTAATTATCGGTTTTTAAACAAAATATTTATTTTTTTGTATTCCATGATTTAAAAGTGAACATCGAGAGATTTCCATCATAGTATAAGTACCTACTCATGGGTTTGCATTTCATTGTTACATTAATATGCTTCACATACAATATGTTTACTTACGCTTAAAATTCTATACATACTTTTTTTTTATTCACTCGTATCGCTGCTTTTCATTTAACATCTTCAAATAATCATTTCAATCAATTTTATCAATATTTCTGATAAGTTAAATTCTTCTAAAATGTGTTCCAAACTGTAATCAAATTTTTATTTTGCTCTGATTCTASATTTCCTAAAATAATATGTACTTAACTTTGAAAACTCTTAAATCGTTTTAGTCATTTTAACATAAACTTATTTTATAATAGTAGAATCTTTTTTACTGAAATAAATTTACCGTTACATAATAATATAATAGATATGTCATATCGCTTATATAATATTTAATTCAGTTTATCAATGTATCTTTATGGTTAGGTATACATTTTACTCACAAATTAAAAAATATGGGTTCATAATGATATACGTACCGACTCTATTTTAACTCAAAGAACTCGATATAATAATATGTCATTATACCCATGATATTGCTTTACATATTTTATAAAAAATAGCATTTCCTAGGTATATTATTATACTTATTTTAAATTGAACATCAGGTGTTCAAGATATCGTTTTTCTTTCTTATCTTTCTTATTATTTATTTCTTTTGTAATCAATATATTTTTTTGGAGTCTTGTACATTGTTAAGCCAATCAACCCACACGCCAATACAATACTGTTACCAAAATATTAAATTACGTAGATTAATTACGTATTAACAATATCGGAATGAGTGTTAGGATTAGGAAAACTAATCAAATATCGTTTTGTTTCACTGTTCTAAAAATAAATCCAATTACAGAGCTACAAATTAACCCTAAATAATTTCTCATCKTTGATTTGGCCAAGATGTTATTTTTGAACACAACCACTTATATAGTTCAAATATAACTTCCATTTTAAGTAAAGGCTCACGTAAATCATCAAGTCCGTTTTAATTAAACGAAATTGTTTCATCTTCAATAACCCCGCAAACCCCGACGTGTCTTTACATCTCCACTTGATATTCAGTTTTACTCAAGACATCCTTAATATTCTGTATGAATCTAAAGCCGTTTATACTATAGGTATAAATCATACTCTATTCTGGATAGATTAAGAAGAGATGCGTCTAAAGTCAATGTTTTAATTTGCGGCCTAATTTTTCGTTAAGCTTTACTGTCAAGAAACCTGCACACTAGCGATATCATTGCCAACTATAATTTATTTTTTCACTTAACTTGCGTACATAATATAACAAGTATAATTTAACACCCGTCTTGCAGTGACAATATTATATAATATGATAAACTGTATAATTTACGTTACCAAGTGGGGCTAGTGTTAAAGGTAATAATATATATAATATAAGAAATAAATGTAATTATTTAATTATTTTTCCAATCAAAAAATCTTAAATTTATATCTAACTCTAAGTCTATGACAATATCAAATGAAAAAACCTACTTTATACTTAGATCATGACCAAATTTATCCTAATAAAGTGATAAATCAATTGCAGAGATCGATTATTAAAAGTTMAAAAATTTATCATTACATTATTATATAAGTAAAAGATACCAAGTATAGTCTAATCGATGTAATTCAACTTATAATAGCAGTTAACGAAAATATATTTTTTTAAAGTGAGAAATTATAGGAAACCACTTTGCTGTATAATAAGCTAGTTTCGAGTTTACCTTATCATTGAAAAAGTTATTATAATGTATGTGTTTACCGAAGAAGATAAGTATTCTGAAAGCAGATTTAACTTTATCATCAAGTCTACTTGTGATCGGCTTACCCAAATTTTTGATTTTAATTACTTCAAAAATTTAAACATGTAAACATGACAAGTTTTTAATATTACTTTTTTTGGAATTTGATGGATGATATTAAAAATTTGAGAAAATGAATCTCAAATTGTTTTGACGGCATAATATGTGTTTAATAAAAACAGGAAATAACGGTATTTTAATTGAATTTAATTTAATCATTGCTACGAAAAATAATTCTGAACGAATCGTATACTACAAAGTATATTATTTCATTAGATTATTTTTTTATGTTCCTATTAAGCTTATTTATTTGATCGATAAATATGACAAAAGTATTTGACACTATGCAATTTCCTATATAGTATCTACTTATAATCATTAATCCGGCCCTAATCATATCAGAGGTAATTAAAAATATGATGTTTGTGTAATTCCTTATTTCAATTAATTCTCTTTAAATTTCAGAACTTCAAATGAGAAAAAATGTATCCCATTTTTTTATTTTTTTATTTCGTACTTAATAATAGATGTATTGTTGTATTATTTTTTTATAGTATCTTTTCACCGAGAAATAAACAAATACAAATTATAATAATTATCCTTTTTAGTTGCGTGAAATTAATTTAAAAGTAACCCCACTTAGTAAGAGATCGTTATATAGCTTATTTTAAATTACAAACATAACGATTAAATATTATATATAATGTTTTTACTGTTAATTCTTTATTTTGTGTTTGTGTCAACAATTCTGTCAAATCATAATAATTGGCTATTTAATGAAATGATAACATACACATACATTATGAACTAGGTAGGTGTTATTATTAATACTAATAAATTTTCTCTTTCATATGCCTTTTGTAACAATATGGCATCAAAAGCGTTTATAATCACATTATCATAATATATTATACTTATCTGATCAAAACTTATTTATTCCATTTGTTATATAATTTATTTATTAATTAGGAATATCTGAGAAATATAATTTTTTAAATAGAAACGTTTACAACGATTACAACTTTTATATTTTACTTATTTGTATAAAGTACTATGTTCCTTGTTTTTATGAGAAAACTATTATTAGTTACATATACCTAGAGTTGATTAATTTCAGTAATAAATTGGTAAAAGTGCATATAATTTGATATCTACTCTGCACTGTTACACTTAAGTTGCAATTATACGTCTACGTGATTATATGATTCCCGGTGTAAGAGCACCGAAGGTATTTCAAGACGTTAAAATGGTTATGTTAACATGAACGAGATTGTAGTGCAGTTACTGAGGATCAATAAAAAAAAGGAAAGAAAAGGAGGACTTAATCAACCGAACTGAAGACGTGGTCGTAAAAACGAGGTGACTATTCTCGGCAGTATTATTAGACCGGTTACTGCCTATATACGAGCACGATTTATTGCCATTCGTTTTCACAGCCTTCGTTTATGGTCAGAGCGAAAATACATTTTTTTTTTTATCATTCTTTATGTAGGTATTTATAACAATACGATGCATTTTGAGTGTTACCAATTGGCTCGATGATGTCCTAAAAAAAAAAATCAAAAGCTATTCATTTAGCTACTAGTTACAACTCATAAGTTACCTGCGTTGTACCTACGTTGTGTCAGATGGACGATTAATATTTTAGTTTGAACGACGGTATTATGKCCTTACGATAAGAAACAATCAAAACATTAAACAATAAATCGTGATATTTAAGGCCAAATTAACAAAATAAGTTTTTGAAAAGTTATTATCAATTACCAATATTATCTATAGCATTTAGTAAACTTCTTTATTTGTATATACTTTATGTCCACTGCAGAAATAGAATTTCGATTAAGTACCTAAGTGATATTTATTATAGTGTATTCCAATATTTCCAATCTAATATTTGGTGATGTAGTTTATTTGAAACAAATAAAATCTACTGAAACGATACACATAGTTGTTTGTTTTATTTTTGTCAGTATTTATATTATATCACAATAGGTACCTATACTTTTTGGATTTTGAGTTATTTACACTAAAATATCGCACTATAGACTATATAGTATAGTATCGATGACAGCTCCTTTTATTAGTCTTTCAAAGTGATTGAGGGGCCTTTATAATTCATAGTGGTTATCGTACGACTTTTGTTGGTTCATACGTAAAATGTATCTAATACGTCAAATATAAATAACAAGATCATACTATTTCTCAGACAAACGAATCTTATAAACAAACTGTAAATTGTAAATAATACTATTCACTTAACTCCTAATTATTACTACTTTGTCTTGTTTTAAATACTAAATCACTTTGTATATCTTTTTAAATATTAATGTAATATGTAAATATACTAATATATAATGTACTGTTACATCCAATGGCCATAGACGCCGCGGGTAGTTGTTTAATAAAAAAAAAATAAAAAAAATATCGATTAAACATAAAATACTTAAACACATTTAGATTTCGCCCATCTAACTTTATAGTGAAGATCATTTAAAAAGCACCTAACAGCAAATCAAGACGTAAAGGCAAGAAGAAAATAATATGTACTTATTTCTTATTTATAAGTTCAAGTTTGTAAAAACAAAAAATTCTACAATATCCTATAGGTATAGTTAATTGGTTTTAGTTGCTTATATTTCAATATAATATCTTGAGACTTAACATTAAAAAAAAAAAACAACTTTTCTATATTTTAACTCCCACATTAATCTTGTATAATTATTAATTTAAAGTGGCATATTCGACTATAAATTTTTCAAAAAGTAATTTCAAATCCATACCTTTAAAATACAAAATTTTAAAAACTTATAATTAAAAAACAAATTAATTAATAGCAATAGGTACACTTTTTTAATCAATTAATGAAAATATACAAACTTACTCAAAATGATCAACGGACAAGATAAATATATAATTTACATAAGCAAAGCCGTAGAGAATGATCAACGGATTAAGTGAGCATTGGGGAACAAGGACAATCATACCTATATACTAATAAAAGATGCATAATGTACTGTTAGTACACGTCTGTAACTTAAGGCCTACAAATTTATTTCAAAAGCTATCTTAATACACAACCCGTTTGATCCAACAATACTTTTTTAAACACGTATTTTAATTTATTTGAGTTTTAACAAAATTTATTCAGAAATGTTTCTATAGTGTTGTTTTACATAAAAAAAATGTGTTTGTAGGTAGATAGATACTGTGCAAAATATGTTAGTTGAATATATTTTTTGTTTAAAGTACATTTTACTAAATGTTTATGTATTATTATACAGAGCAAATGCGTATAATATCTCTCGTTAAATTTTACTACTACGCTAACGACTTGGTATTTTTGAGTAAATTGTTAAGTCAGTCGCTGCAGGTGCGCGTGTTATAGTAAATTCAAACTCAAAAACACCTATAATAGCGATAAAATAGAGTCCGTGACCTACATGACAATATTATATATAATATCGTTTTTTTACTTAAAACTTGACTACGACGTCGTGTTAACACCTGTATTTAACCTACCTATTCCATAATATTATATGATTTTTATTACATTGGTATAGGTACCTACTGACTTTTTTTTTATCTGTCACGTTTGACACAAAGTTGCCTGGTTATACGAAAAACAAAAAAATAAAAATAAAACTTCAAGAGTTTGCAATACTATTATTATTATCTCGCCACGCCGTCGATATTGACTTTCGGTATATACACGAAGTTATGCATTTATAATAAATTCAGCTTTCACGCGTGGGACATCGCTAGCAATAGTTCTATAACCAAATTATTTTACGTGAAAACACCAACGTAGTTATTACCAATAGGTAGTATAATAATAATAATAATATCGGTCGACGAACGTGAAGCTTTTATGATGAAAGTAATAATAATAATAATAATAATAATAATAATGAAATACTGATGATATGAGTGCGTCTATACATTATTGTTATTATTATAATATAGTCGAGTTTCGAGTAACAGTTTTATGAACTTACCCCACCCCAACCGTTCGGCAGAAACCCATCGTTCTTGGTCCAATTATCGAGATTGACGTAAAAYAATCCAGCGCTCATGAGAAACACCCACGCTGCCAAGTTGATGGCGTTCATCAGATGGTTAAACATCAAACTTTTTTTAACGCCAGCTGCAAGAAGCACCATCATCAACAGAGTGATGCCCGCGGCCAGGATATCCGGTTTTCCTGTAAAACATAATAAAATGTTATATTAAACTAATAACACGTTTTACCATGGTGTTGTAGTGGCATAAACGTTTTGTGTATAACATTATATAATATTATTCTGTGTATACATAAATACATATAAATATATTATATTATTGCAAAACATAAAATTGTCTACGACGTTTGTTACAATAACCACTCATAATAAGTACTTGTAGTACCGTGTTTGAGAATAATATATGAATTATACATTATATTTGATGTTCATTGTTTTCTTTACAGAACACCCGAGTTTCGTACCAGACGTATAAATAATACGCTACTTAGAATGTCTACGCGAAGTAACGAAGCGAATCCAAAAAAGTACTGTAAAATCAAAAGTTCAATACAATGAATAGGTAATTATTATAATCCCAATTTTATTACCCGGGTGGTTGTCTGTGATTTACGTATACGTATGCTAAAACGCACATATTTTTCAAATTTTATTTGACATGGAAATAAATAACGATTAAATGCGCGTTTCACAGTTCCGTGGATTCTAATGCTAAAACAAATTTTTGTATATTTGAGTAAATAAAGAAATTGAGCTAAACGTCTGCAGCGTGATACTATAAAATAAAACACTTAATTTGCCACTTTTAAATAAAATAATTCTAATGAAGAAATACAATGAGTTATTTCGCATTAGTTTTGAACGATGAGTTAATAGTTAGTTGATAAACGATAGTTGATATATATTATGTACCTACCTATGTATGTCTGGTTATACACTAATCCGACAAACCAATAACCAATAAAGAAACTAAAGAAAATATTCATATATTTTTTCAATTTCTGAAAAATATGAAACAAGAAACATTTTAAGCCTTCTACGCACGCCAATATGATTGAAACGTGATTTTTTTATTTAATTATCAGTATGCAAAACATACCATGTATATACTAAAATTATGTCGATAACCAACAACAACCTACATTTTTTTTTTACTCAGGACCTCAAAAAACTATATAATTTTTCATTGTTAGTATAAATTATTATTATAATTATTTTTAATTTTTGCCTCATACTTAATTATATCCATGATATTCTCATATCGCAATCATATGAAAACTACTATTATTAAAAGCTGATTGGCGTTAGTTACATATACAAAATAATATATTATTAAAAAGTTTATACCACATGACGAAAATTGTTGTTTTTAGTACCCCAACACCTGTTCACTGTTTAAATTACATAGTCAAACCATGATAATATAGTGATTTGATGGTCATCATAATATAACATTATCGATTTTCAGTTATCTGTCTCTCACATATTTTATTTTATTTGACTTTTAACCAAATCATTTTTACGAGCACTATAATGTCTCAATGTGATGATATTTTGATAAAAAATAACATATTAAGTTAATATAGGCAATTRCCAGTTTCCTTTATTATAAAATGTTATTTATGGACTTTTTTTTAGTGGGAGGAAGTGCTTACAATATTATTTTAAATTTCAAAATCATTCTTGAAAACCAGAGATAAACCAGAATGCACTTTTAGCTCCAAATAGTTACATAAATTAAATACGATTTTAACTAATTATTAATCTCTCAAATGCGTATTCTATAATACTTAAAAGCTAAGAAAATTAACGCTTAAGCTCAGAAATACCACAACTAAAAACTTTAAAATTAAAATTAAAAAAAATAAATAAATTCTTAAAAACAGTTTTCTAACTTTGTTAATCACGCCATTGAAATTATCCAACTAAAAGGTACTTTGTTAATTGTGTTTTTTTCGACAACAACCAAGATGACAAAAATTAGAACAAGTAAATTTCAATTATATTGGATTAAGATTTTTCGAAGCAATACTATAAAAGCAACGTGGTTTCTGTGTCGAGTTACACAACTGAAATTCTGGATGAATTAATCTAAATCTAACTTAACGGGCATTAATTATAGCGATCTGAAATATTTCTACGGGAAAAATGTTGTCAACATTATTTTATCAACAATATTGTTGGACCATGCATTAATGTTGAAAAAGTGTTTTAAATAAATATTTTCTTTATTWTTAATATATTCATGTATTCAGTTTCAATCATGCGGAACTAAAAAAAAATATACTTGCACCCTATATTATGTTTTGTGTAATAGTAATTAAGATGTTCAACGAGATTCCGCGTTGATCAAAATCAATCAATTAAAATTGACACGATAGAGGTACCGTATTTTTCCTATGTGCTAAAATTTCTTATACATCTGCAGTAACAACAATTTAAAAAAAATATCTATTGGAAAAAAATATTTACCGACTGTAAATACAGTGTAAGAGATGTCTTACTTATTTTTTTAATCTTCCCGACTGACAAACATTAATCAATTAGGGCCACGTATTTATTAATTTTAGTTTTAATTATTAATTAGTGCACCACGTCACAATAATTATCTTCTAAATAATAATTATTTATATTTTATTTTGAATGGCTTTTATTTACGGAAAAAAAATTAACAACTATGATTTAATAATTATTGACTGTTATAACGCACATAGTTATAACTAATAACCACGCGTTAGTTACTTATACGGCCATGAAAAAATATATGGACCACTCTAAAAACTAAATCCAAATACTGTCAGAAATCACCAAAAAATTGAAGATCGTAGTAAAATATTTCTCAGTTAAATCAAAAAAAGTTACTAATTGGTGATGTGTTGGAAAAAAAATAAACTTTACACCGAGACTGTTGATTGAAGAATTTTTAAATATTTAATGCTCATCGCTCTTACTGATTTTGTATTCGTGACAGCCAAAAGGTTCAAATTGTTTTCTTGGAAATAGATCTTATAAAGACGTAATCCTATTCAAAGTAAAGAAAAAACGCTCAATTGGATGATATCGGTAACGTATATACGGTTGTACTATTGGTAGTATCCTTAGATCCACGTCAATATTATTAGACAAATTTAAATAAATTAAATAAATCTTAATAAAAACGCATTAATTGTACTGTTATTTTGTTTAAACTTTTGGTGATATTTAAATTGAATGACTTGAAATGACTTCTGATATGTTCATTTTCATTTGGAATGATATTTGTAAATCTATTTTCGAAATATTTCAGCAGCAACCCACAATTTACCACCCAACAAATTGTTCCATTTGGGCCCTTTTTTTCCTAAATGCAGCATAGTAGGGAAAAGATAATTGTGTATGAGGTATTATATTGAAACAAATTGTTGGTAACAGCTGTTATATTTTAGCGCGTTTCGAATAATTGAACTTTCCAACGGTTATGTTTATGCGGTTCAAAAATAAATCGAAACAAATCCACTACGGGTAAACGTCAATAACGACGTGAGAATTTTAAAATCTCGATGATATAATACTTAATCACATAGAGAACGTTCTACGAATGTGCCACTCAGGTAGTTAGATGCAATAATAGTAAAAATAATAAAACGTCGGAAGAACAAAATAAGATAAAATWAATTAAAATTGAAACATAGGCCGTGCTGGAATTAAAATCACCCGGAAGCAGTTTTTAGACGAGAAAATCAAAATGTATATTATATAATAGATTCGGTTTATATCCGGTTCCTTAGGGACGGAGCATTCGATCGACAAAATATTATTGTTACGTAACATACGATTTAAAAATAAACTTTCATTTCGCTTTCCAACAATCCCTTTTTCAACTCATATTCGATATAATAATATGTAATATATGACGTGTTACGTCGTGGGATTTAATGAGCGAAAAATAATTTTATTTCAATTCTTCGTTTCTTCGATTCTTCCAAATTTCAAGGCGAGCGCAGTATAATCATTGAAAGCGTGCATATATAGGTCGTGTATACCTTTGTACTGTGATCTTGTCATAATTTAATAATATTATACACGCAATAGTTTCGGAATTACATTATATTAAGCAATATGTACATGTTATTAATTATGAGTGTAATAGCGAGTGTACTTTTTGGCTATAGGAATTTCAAACTTTTGGAAATGTGCTAAAAATGTTAATGAAATATAAAAATAAAATCGAATTCTTGGATTATCAATAACCTAACTTTGCCGTGTATTCTTGTCGTAATAAATTATTATACTCCATAAAATATTATAACGTAATACAAATCACAAATGTCAGTGTTTGCCATTTTTAGGTCTTTTTAAATCCATTGATTAACTCCAAACCGACGGAAAAAGTACAATAATTCATAATATTAACATTATAAGTACGTTTTTAGGTATTAAACACATTAATTACTTATACCAGAATTAAAATTCTAGTTTCATTTTTTTCAAATAAACATAAYTGAACTATGTTTTCACGTTCAGAACTTTGTTATATATCTAAATAATTAAATATAATCTCGGTAGAAAAAAAAAGCTAATATGGACATTGGAAAATGGATGGTAGTCGCCGTGCAAGGGAGGAATTTTGAGAGCACCCTCTCTAACACGTTCTCCAATAGTTTTGTTCCTTAATACTATTATACGAGTACTAATAAATCAACATTCTAAATTTATTATACAATTGTAACGAAATTAAAACAAACGTGCGTGTGTGAAGTACCACCTTAAGAAAAATCCTGAACACGCCTGCACTGCATGTTCAGTAATGCATCATATTTTAGAAATTCCTAAGTGATTGTTTAACTTTTAATGTTTAAGTTTGTTTTTATCACTATAAAAAATAGTTTATTTCTTAAAATGTAAAAACAAAGCGATAAGTCTGCGCTTAGCGTTAAGAGGATAATAAAAAAGCTACTAGTAAATATATTTTTTTTGAGTCTACATGAAAACGAATATCACAAATCTAATCATCTCAGACTGCATACGTATATACAAATTATAATAGCTAGTGTATTCGATCACTCTACTTTTAAGATTTCTATAGTCATGGGCATCCGATTTCCAAACAATATATATTATCGTATTTATAATCACCTTCGACATAATATAATAACGTCATATTCATTTACATACTCATTATTTATATATTGTGATATATATATATAGTATCGTTTGAAAAATATGATTAATATCTCATAAAATATAATAAGTAAAAATTATTCGTGATTCCTAGTTTAATATAGAAAATAATAACAAATGTCGATCTGATAATAAAYAAAATTCAAAAAGTATCATAAATGATTAAAATTGGGTTTCAGTTATTCTATACAGTTTTATATATTAACGCGTGATACATGTTTTAAACATAAATACCTAAAATAGCAAGGCACTAAGACATTTTAAAAACTTAAAAAGTATTAAAATGATAACGAAATTAAGGGTCTAATATTATTTTGTTATTTTTATATTCTCAGTTTTTCCTGAAAGTTAATTGACTAAAATTATCTAGAGTACTATAGTGGAAACTAATTATTCGGTAAATTATTCAAAATAAGTAATTATTATCGATTTACGTATACGCACTAATACAATTATTTATCATGAAATACTTGTTATAATATCAAATAGTAAACACAACTATTAATATAATTTTATCACATTGAATATAATTTCAGAACTCGGAAAATAAATAATTTTAAAATATCGTAAATTCGTATCATATCAACAAATAATAACTAAATTAATCCATAAATKATATCAAAATATGATTTATCATACTAATTCTGTTTCCAGMTTAAACATATTAAAAAATATAAATATTTGTTTGTATCTCATGTATACATATTACATATATTATTATGATACATAATTTTTTTTTTTAAATTAGAATAAAAAAATCTTATATTCTTTACACGTCGAGTAAACTACTGCTTTGTGTGTGTTATAATAAAGTTGAGAACAATCGCTCATACATTTGAATAACAAAACGCGTGCTKTCGAATATATTTTTACTGTTATATTCCAAGTTTTTCGATTTTATTGAATTGCAAAACATTTTCAAAATATGCTATAACGTTGTTATTTGTCTGTTATATTTCAGTCACATTTTTAAAAAACTTCATTATAAAACCAACAGTTCAACTGATCTATTTAAACTCTACCATATCAGAACACCTTTTTAATCGAGATTTAWAAACTAGTMAATTTATAGGACTATACCTAATTAATTTTTTTCTACTTGTCTATTTACTCATAAAATATAATTTTTATTGACATTGCTTATGTATTTATTTATCGCGTTATTTAAACAACATAAATTAAAAAATAGAGTTTGTTTAAAACTAATTGAAAAGAAATTACTTTTATAATCTTTTAGTGAAAGCAAAAACTTTTAAAATTATTTTAAATAAACAGCATAAAAAGTTATAGATTTATTCAAAACGTTTTATTTTAATACAAGCGTAGAATAAATACGTAAATCAAACAACAACATTTTTTAGCGAAGAAAAAACTTTTTACTATTAAATAGAAACATGTAGTATCGTKTTCATTTTTCAAATTTKTAATTATAATGAATGTTAAACTAAATTAATGCAGCAATGATATTTCGGTTAAAATAAAATATGAAACAAATCACACGTGGCAGTTTAATGGTGAAGATAAAAGATACAAACCTCTTTGCACGTTACTACTAAATATATGAGATAAAAATATTTTTTTGATTTATATTTGGTAGAGAGCTATTGAAAAACAAATGGAAAAACTGAAACGGATATTATATAATTTMAAATTTACAATTCTGATTAATTAAAATATTTTCAATTTAAAATCCACATCTTATATGAATTTTATAAATTACAATGAAAATTTATATGACGTGCAATATTTATTTTACAGAAATTCAATGAAATTATCTAAACGGCCAAATACTTTATAATCTGTTTCATAATTTTCGGTACATATACTGTACAGTGTTTTATTTTGTTGTTGTTTAATAACTGTTAAAAAAAAATAAAAATAAATTCTTATAAATATTTTATTTCGATTAGGAGGTTGGAATGGTCGGGATTTTTTTGAAGATATTTTGCCTAACGTTTATTGATGCGAAAATTTATATTTCTTTAGTGAATAAATGATATCAATCTGAACATGAAATCCAACATCATCATAATATTAGGATTAGGTATATATACATATTATTATGTAGATATATACTTTGAAACTATGGCTTACTTATCGAAATAAAATAATTATTTATTACTACACCTTGAGATTAAAAAAAAAAATAATAATAATTTATAGAAAACCGCACATTTATTTCCACAGGAAACCATACGTATATTATATTTTATTTAATAGCAGGCGTGTCGCAACTATGAAACGGAGTTTCTGGCACCGTTTTTAATATTTAWAATATACACCTGGATTAAACGAACACGAATCCAACCATATTGTGATGACGCCCGTGACACGGAAATATTAGCTTTAACGGTTACCAAGCTTTACAACATCACCTCGACTCATATTATTATAATATTTGTTTCGTGGTTGTCAATGTAATATGGAAAATGTGAATAAAAATCGATGGTGACAGACGTATAGCTGCATACCTACACCTAGTATACCTATTACCTTCTAGTATAAACCTTATGCATTTATTACTTTCGGAACTTCCGACAAGTTCCCGAGCGAATAACATAAAAAAAAAAAATATATAAGAAAATTCTATTTCAGCTATAGGTATTAAAACATTTCCTCAACTTGGGTAATAATCATAATAATAATCCGTAATTCTTGACAACATATTAATTAGTGATATACTTACTTCACTTTAAATTCGGATTTTTAAATCTTTTATTCTCTGAATACAAAATTCGGCAGTACWTTCTTTTAACATATAATATATTAATAGCAAAACAGTACATTACACTTTGTTTTAAAATGGGATATAAATACTCATCATTAGCAGGATTGTTATATTTTTTAAATTATAATTTATATCGCTTACACAAACACAATCAAATCGCTCTTCAACTTAAGTTACGTAATTTACTTGAATTACATCCGTATCGAAAAATATTAATACATCATATTATAGGTAATACCAATATAAACAAATAAAAATAAAAAGTATAAACTTATATAAATCAATATTTAAAAGTTCATATTTCATACAAATTGCTATATCAGTCAAAAATGCTTTTTAAAAATATTAATAAATAAATTATATAAAACCAGTATCGTTTTTATTTTAGGTTTATTTTATAGCTTTTTTCGTATCTAAGGTGATAGCTCAATATTRTAAAATACATTGATGTATATATATTATATTTAAATTTAATAATATTCGTGGGTGCATTTTGTGAAAAGTAGGTGTATAATAACACACCATAAGATAAAGTATTTTGAATTACTAGAAACGCCAAGAGTTCAAAAAAAATTTAAAAATACCTTCCTTCCTAAATATATAAGGCAATTCACATGTGTATAACCCTGTTCGACGTGTAAAAACTCATTATTAAAATATTATGTTTCTCATAATTATAACATGGTATGAAATGCTCAAAATAATATTTAAAGGTGTCTAATCGTTGTTAATATTGTATTTCAAAAATATGAAGAGTTCGCTAAAATTTGATTTTATTAACACTAGAATGAAAAACTTACATATTATTATAATCATAAGAGTAATRACAATAGATTTAAACCATTTGCAGAGGATCAAATAGATTCTTTGTATTTTATATAAATAACGCTGGGGATTAGGTAATTTGAATAAAGCTTTCAGAAGTGAACGATTCACGTAGAATTCAAGTACTTAAGTTAGCTAAAATAGGTACAGTAGGTACACGTTTGTAAAAGACGTCATTTTAAACGAGAAACTAAGGAAGCAAAGGTTCCTAGGAAAATTAATACTAAAAAATGTATTCAATAAAGATTCCTAAATGTTCTACTCTTGASGGTATGTCCAAAAATCTCTAATAGACCATTACTTATAAGTACATTTCCCACACTTCAGCCACCCATAATAACATAAATTTAAAAATAAATAAATAAATAAATACCACTATAATATATAAAGTTAATTCATCAAATCTAATTCCAAATTCAAATATTTTCTTCTAATAATCATGCTCAGAGACCTCCTATATAATGTCATTAAAATTGATATGCTACCAACTGGTCATACAGTCGGTACGAATAAGTCAAGTATACAGCATTTCTAAAAACAACACTCTCAATATTTAAATATTATGTTGAGACTTCAGTCTTAATCTCATTAAATTTTTAAAATATCTGTAGATTAAACAGTGAGGAACGCTCATTTCGTCACTTAGAATAAAATAATTTCTTTAACAATCATTGTTTTTTTTTTTACTTGTAACAATTGCCCACGACTTATTATCTTCTCATATCTTTAAAGTTTAAACTTTTGTTGAATCCCCTCTGCTCACTACAAAAGTATATAGCAAACTAAGATTTCCCTTATTTCCTTTTTAACTGCCTAATTTTTACTACATCTGTTTACCTACGTACATAACTCCTCAAATACCTCATCCAATATTCGACATATTTATTCCTCCCAACATTATTCCCTTTATTGTATCGTTTATCAAAATATAATTTTTGTATATCACAAACCTCGAATAAAAAAAAACCTGTGATAACGAAAAAAAAAATACCTAAAAGTACCTAAGTATATGTTTTAAATTAAGATAAAATATTAACTTCAAACATTTAAATACACTAAAATACAAACAACATATATAATCGTTAAAATCGTTAAAATCTACTCTATCTATTTAATATTATAATCTACTCACCGAGGAACCCTACGTAATTTTGAACAGACGCGCTAATGGCACCGTTTGTGAGYGAGTCCATGCTCGCACTCAGGGCACACGCGCATGCCGACGTCCCTATGAGATACTCGAGCACCATGTTCCAGCCAATCAGAAACGCTATAAATTCGCCGACGGTAACGTAACTGTACATATACGCGGAACCGGATGTGTTAGGTACTCGGACTCCGAATTCAGCGTAACACGCACCTGTATATAAGAGATAACGAAATAAAATCATTACAATAGATATTGTTTTTGCTAACGAAATTTCAATATAAATTAATATATAACAACCATTATCAGGTCTATTAACAGTAAGTATATTAATTATAATTATAATTCATATTATGTAAGGATTTCAGACATAACATAAATTAAGACGTTGGACAAGATTGTTTTGTTWGAATTAATTTGCTTTTACATACTTATTAATACGACAAAAAAATAAACTGTTTTGTAAAAATACATATCTATAAGAATTTAATTAAATATTATTTAAACTAGTATTTTTTTCTYGTTTCACATCAATTATTCGGAGAAAAAATAAACGGATAATCCGGATTCGAGGGTTGAAATTGTGGCCATCCGGTATATTTCAAAAAAACTAGCTGATATTTTATCACACGAACATTATACAATATACTATACTAATTGTATTAGAATATATATATCTGCATATAATATATATAGAGATCCATTTATTGATCAAAAATAAAATAAAAACTAAAAGATTGTGAATATAAAAATAAAATTACGACATAAAATGCTTCTATGGTACCAATAAAATTCGGATTGTTGGTTTCAACTCATAAATTAAATTAATAATTTACAATGTAATCGAACAATGCATGTTTGAGATTTCGAATCACATATACATATAAAAGTATCAAATAGCCGATTTCAATATTATTAATGTCACTAATCAAATGGCCACTAGTTATAATTTAAGAGGTGAATATTTATATTGTATAGTGTTGATAAGGAATGATATTATKGTATTAACCGTATTATGATTTATGGTAGATAATATTAAATATACTATTTGAACGTACATATGTCGTGAATCAACAGTTATCATTTTATGATGTACCGTTTTTTATATTTCCATATTTAATTTAAACTTTAATAGACAATTATTATTTTATTCAACTTTTTACATTGAAATACAAGATGTTAATAATCTTAACTCTGGTACCACTTACGGATAATTCATTAAAAACTAAAAATGCATACATAAATAAGTGTAGCAAATTGTAATATGAAATTGGTACATTGAATATATTTTAGATGCCGAAATTTTTCAACAGTATCTTAATACCATATTATCAGTTTAATTTTTAATCGACCACTACAATTTCATATGCACTAAAATTTATATTTAGAATATCATGAAATATGTTTCAAATTAAATTCATCAATGTACAATACTACATATATTTTTAAAAAATGGAAATGAAACAAATAGTGTTTTTGAAAATTCTCCAGTTTAGCATACGAGCATGTAGATCGAAATAGGTAATTTTTATTTCCTAATATATACGTATGGAACAATTTATTTGAACTCAATGGATCAGAACCGTCAACCTCATCTATAAACAAATTCAAACCTTCTATTTGGATAGAACATAATATGTAATCCGTAAGCTGAGTGTGAATGGATTAGAGCTGTCAATCTAGTATGTACGGATTAAAACCATTGATTTTATCAGAACGAATAAATAGACGATTTCAATGAGGTTACAAACGGGCAGCGTGGACATCGCTAGTAAATTAATAACAAGAAACGTGCAATCCGATTGATTTCTTCATGCATTAAAGAGTGAAACAAAAATATAAATTTTATTAGTGGTTTTAGTCGCCTGTGTCCGAATGGTTCAAAATACTCAATAAAATGAGTTGCGACTTTCAGATTTCGTTTTAGTTCTAAAACAAATGATATAATTGTGAGTAACCTGAAGAGGATTAAAACAATTTTATTATTACCGTTATATAATATTATTTATTATTATTTACTATAATATATCTAAAAAGTACGTATATAAGTATATTTTTTCAATTTAAATTGTGATGATTTAAAAAAAAAAATAAATATTTTAATGTAATATTAATCACTCCACTGATTAAAATATACCATTAATAGTATTATATTGTACACAAATCTAATTATTAATTGTATTCTCTTACCCGAAAACAGTGACGCTATGGCGGCTATAATAAACGAAAGAATGACCGCGGGGCCGGCAAACCTCCTAGCAACCAGTCCAGTGACCACATACATGCCTGTCCCCAGACAAGAGCCGACACCCAAAGAGGTCAAATCAATGGTATTCAAACATTTCTGTAAACAAAAAAACATAATATATGACATTAATGTGGATCTCATTCATGATAAATGTTTGACAGTTCAAAATTCTATGCGTAAAAATAATAGAATTTAAGACTTAAATAGGAGTATATTTGCTGACCACTGTCGTAATCGCAAACAGAATAGTGATGTTCAATGTATATGAAAATATTATGTAGAAAGAGTAATAATTTAATAATTTATATTTTACTACTTATTTCACATTTATAATAATATACTGATATTCACTCGTTTTAATTTGTTGTATATTACTATTATACATCACTTTTTGTTTCGGGCCCAGGCCTGATCTTATCAAAAATAAAATAAAATAAAATATGATATTATACGTACATAATAATAATATATTATAATATTATCATATTTTAATTAAATAGACCATGAATATATCTATGGTGGTAATAACTTTTGAAAAGTAAAAATCGTTCTGAATTGGTTTTTGTTTAATTTGAGACGTCACGATTTTAAGAGAAAAACTCGTGTTATAAACTGTTAACTTCCGACGCCGGACGACGATATTGATTTTTGAGTGTCGCGGCGCGTCGTGTAGGCAATTCTGCTACACGGAAGTCTGCTAGTAGTAGTACGCTGCACGCGGAATATTTGTGGAATATTAAAAAGGTAAATGTTTTGTGGATCAAACGTCTCACTCGTCTTCATCAGTCTATGCTAATTCACAATTATATTTATTATTTGTTTTTCACAAAGTTGTCGTTTCATAAATTCAAAGCGTAATTTTCTCAGTTTTGTTTTCTGGAACGCTCTTATAATACACAGTAAACAATATATAATAGTTCTCGAAAACAAATAAATATTTAAAATTTTTCAGTTTTTTGTGCCTTGTTTGTGATATGTTGAATTGTGGTGTGCATTACATATAATTATAATGATGTACATTTTAAATTCCGACAAACGTCATACACCATGAACATAATTTGTAAATAGAAAAAAAAATAAATATTTACAAAGAGCGTCGATATGTTATTACCGTTCGACCAATCAAAACGAGTGCGTAACTCGATATGACTAATACTTTCATATAGTCAAGTGTGATTATTCTATTGTGAAAATATAAAAAAAAAAAAAGTACGTAAACGTATTTGATTCGTATATGTTTTTTAACGTTTAATGTGCTTTTATAAAATATGATGTACTTTAATATATTATAACTATGTATTATAAAACATTATTCTAAATTATTCTTCCCTCAAAAATAACTATTCGATTTATAGGAGTGATCAACGACTAAATAAAACTGGTAATAAAGACAATGTTGTTGATYATTCAAAACAAAAAATAATGGTTAATGGTCGTGATGATTGGAACAATGATTAAAACGTCCACAATATAACTTAAGTACAAAACCAACTAACAAGTATACAAAAAAAAAGTATTTCAAGTACTTAGTTTTTTACCCGAATTATGTATATAATTTTATTTATTTACAGTAAAACGCACATTATTTTTATTTTATTTTACATTTGTACGGGGCAACATAAATTGCATTAATAATTTATAACAACTATAATATATTAAAATATATTAGTTTAGTTTAGTTTAAATTTAAATACTAAAACATTACAAAATGAACATAATGATTAATCAGTTTAAAAATATAGATATTTATTATTTTTAAATATTTATGATGTATATGAATTAAATCGACATTATTAAAAATTGAATTACATAACAATAGCACTATCGGGAAAAATTGATTAATWGGTAGATATTTTTTTTTATTGAAAAGTACAAAAATAGATTTGAATATAATTATGAGTACAAATACCAATCTTACTTTTAATAAATCAGGACTAAGGAATCAATATTATTTATTTTATACATCATATTGAAATAAGAAGCCAAATAACTTTACTTACATAAACGACTGAATATTAAGAAATGGCCTTTATTCAAGAGAATGAATCTCCCTAAAAATAGGTATATATTTATTGTAGAATTATTATAGCTGTCTGTTAGATCGTTGACTAAGACTATATGGCGAACAAAATAATTTAAGTACAACACTTATTATTTTTACATTTCAAAACAGTATATAACAGTATAGTATCTTCAGAGAATATTGAGAGGTAATATTGAATATTTAAATGTAATTTATGGGTAAAATCCTACAGATTATACCTCCTATATAGTTGAGGACTGAGGGTATGATATGATTATTCAAGGCAAGGATTCTCAAACTATTATGAACACTGTACCCCTTTTGTATCCTTTAAATTTTAAGGAAAAATAAAAAATATGTTGATTACCTTCATCGGCTTTCGGGATAAATCGGGTATTTATCAACTGAAAATTGATTTTTCTTATTTAAAATAATACTTAATATACATTCATTAATTATGTGCAATATCGTAAGAATAACTGAAAATTATTATTTAATCGAAGGTTAAACACTTTTCTTATGAAAACGTCAATCATTTATGAGGTTTATGGTATTTAGAAATAGAATATATAATATATAATACGTATACGTATATATAATTATACACGGTAATATATTATTATTAAGGAATAAAACAAATCTCAATAATATTGTTCGAATGAATACATTTAATTCTTTTTAAAAGAGTGTCAAATATTTACAAACACAAAAAACATGAAATAAATAAAAATRAATAGTGAACTAAGGTAGAATTACAGTCAAACTGAAATCTGAGGATTTTCCGACACGTTGCTTTTATTTAATTAATTTTATTTTAAATACTAGCCTTAAAATGCACGGATTCTTATAATTAATTTTAAAATGATTATATTTCAAATAAAAATGATCAAAAGAATTATAAAAATCATGCGTACTTATTACCTACTAATAAAGAATATTATTATACTGGAAATAAAATATTTATTTAATATTGGAGAGTAGTAATTATTTTCTGTTTTGTGTTTTGGTGTATAGACATAAAAAAGATAGTCAGCATTTCATTTTTTCTGTTTGAAGAGATAGAAATATTGGTTATAAAAGAGTGTTATTTTTATTTTTAGTAAAAAGTCGTTTGTCAAAAATAGCTAATCAATTCTGCACTTCTATAGCTTTTGATTAAATCAATTGTTAACTTTGTCACGATTCTAAAAATTAAAATTCTAAGTATGTTGACATTATTATAGACATCGTTAATAATGATTATAATTTTAATTTAGGACAAAYTTCTGTTATGTTTAAGTTAAATTTTTAAATTAAAAAACATTATAGGTATATTATGTATTCAAAATTTAAAAAGCCCTAGAAATTTATTACAATTTTAATAATTATTATCTATTTAAAGCATTAGCCACAAAGTATAGTTTTTTATAAGTGTTAAAGTTAAGAACATTTTTTTTTTATATTAAAAGACAGATAATGGTTATATGATTAATTTTATTATAATATGTTTTTATATCAAGATAAAATACTTTTTAGTTTTTAATACTTGGAATTATGGTACAAGTATAACCAAATATAAAATTCAAAAATGTCACGACAGTTTAACTAAGAGTTTTTTTCGGTTTTTAATATAAAATATATTATATTATACTAAAATATGTATACTATTATTATTACTAAAACTCTACAAAATTTAAAAATGATAATATTACTATGAGTAAATCAAGAATGCTTGATTATAAATTTAATTAATCTGTCAACACAGTTAGGAACTTTATGTAAACAACTAAACCACTGTGGGGAAGTATTGTCATTAATATAATTATTATTATTATTTATTTTATTTTTCATGCTAACTATTAAGTTTTGGTTAGGTAATGTTATTAACGTATTTGTTGCATATTGTTCAATGTTCATATTATATATAAATATTATTTATTAATAAGATTGTCGCGGACCACGACCGTCGCTCGTCGCGATTATCGTAAAGACGRTATTAACTATAATATTTATATTTTCGTATTAATTAGTATTTCAGTTAGTTGTCCCGCGTCAACTGTCGTGTGGTTAACGCAAATTATACGAGTGTTCAGTTTATTATTTTATACTTATATCTACTGTGAAYTCTTATTTATATATCGTGCGAACTTGGTATACCTATTAATATTTTGTATTATTTTCAATATATTATGTGTCGCCTTTAATAAAGTTAATATTATACGAGGTACTATTACGGTGTATTATTTATTACGTAACTTTAGAGCACTAGGGCGACCATGCCACTATTATTAAAATAACTGTAACTATACACGTATATTGTAGTCATCAAACTTTTTAAAAATCTAAATTATGTCTTTTAATCTCATATTTTAATACATTTTGTAAATTATTTATTTAATTAAACGAATAAATAATTTTAACAATTTAATAGATAAATAAATATACGAGGCGTGTCCAGAAAGTAAGTGTACTGAGGCTCTCACAGCCATAGGGAATATTTTTTTACTATGTTGGCTACACTTCCGTATAGCTTTACTCCTAACCTTTAAAACAAGACCAGAATGAGTTCAGTACGTTGAAAACTGTGGTCGCACGAATTTTTCTAGTTAAACATGTCGATCGAGTCTGCCGCCAAGTGCGAAATCCGCGCCGTTATCCGTTACCTTGTTGCGAAGGAAAAATCTCCACATGAGATTTTTAATGAGGTACGAACACGGTTTATGGTGAAGGCCATATGAATCGTACCAGTGTATACAAGTGGTGTAGGAAGTTTAAAAACGGCCGTACAAATGTACATGACGATCTGAGGAGTGGGAGACCGTCGATTTTGACTGACAACATTGTGAAAAAAGTATTAATAAAATGGAATCAAAGTTCATTGTTATTGAACAACTATTTTACTAATAAGTAAATTTAATTATAACTAWACTATTATAGAAGTATTATATAATGTATAAACTAAATCGTTTAAACGAAAACAATTAAGACTATAATATTACCAAGTTACCTATTCCTATTTTTTCATTTGAAAACATTTTTTTATTCCTTCATAATTATTATTTTTATTTTWWWATTTTAAAATTTGAAATACACAATCTGTACAACGTACAACTACATAGCATAATAAGTATATATGATAATATAATTATTGATTACTAGAAAATGAAACCTTTAACAATAATATTATTATGTTCATTACATGYGGATTACGAATTTGTTCGCTTTTTATGAGCCCAAAATAGGTATTATGAAACTGTGGATGTTTATTATGTACTCGTTTACATAATTACTCATAATCTCGGAATGTTACTTTGCAATGGTGGCCACAAAATAACAATGTCACGCATGATAATGATAATATAATTAACATACATGGGTAAGACGATTTTACTATAAAAGTATAAAATATACATAACAATTTCTATTTCATATCAGTTCATCTTTTATGGATAGAAAACACGAATCATATACCTATACTATGTTATATTTTAGGTATCTATATACAATTAGTGGGTTAAATCGATCGACCATTTTTGGGAGGAATAAAACATAGATCTCGAATTTTAACATTAACGTTGTCTATCGTATCATAATATATTACGATGGTATTATCTTTTTGATCTGCCGAATTTTAAGCAAGAGCGATCGATACACAAATTATCTCGAAAAATAACGCTAACAGATTGAAATGTATGTATTAAAGAGTAAATTATAAGAAAAAGGTCCGGTAAATATCTGCAAACCATGTTCCGTGGTTTTCGGACGATCAAGCAGACAAACTGGCGCCCTACGAAATTCTTGCCATAGTCGTCGTCATCATCGAATACATGAAAAATATCGTTTCGCCATAACAAACATTTCAACAGTTGTCGCGTTAACCGAAGGTGACGGACGGCGATTTGTCACGGTGTGTAACCTCCCGCGTAATTGGGTCGTTGCTCTTCAATGCAATAACTTTCATACGGAGTATATTATTATATATTTTCCACTTGTTTCACCATATTTCTTCGTCCGTGTTTTTTTTTTTTCCACGCACACGATACCTTAGCTTTTTACTTTTTATTACATACACAAGTATCTACTTATAATTATATCTAAAGAGAATACACATATACGTGCACAAACACGCACGCGTATACACAATCGTGATCCGGAGTAAGCATAAATGGTGTTTTTGATCTGCAAATAATATACGTTATAATATCTTGGCCATAATATATGTAAATGTTTTCGCTCTACGATTCTCCTTTTCGACAAACCAGCCTTCTCACCCTCACCACCCAACTAACCATCACCAACCACCCACTCACAAGTATATACTGCTTACCCTACATACAAGGTTTGGGGCCTAATCAATATTTTACCATGCACGTATAGTGGGTAAACGCCACATACGATCACTTGATACAAATCATGTGTAAATTACGGCATCTGAACCGGACTCTGTATTCATCGTTGCTACCGTTGCTACCGTTGCTACCTCATCACTTAGCCCCTTTGTGCAAGCCACGAGCGGACTGTAAATAAATGCGCAAAAAGGGAGGTGCCAGTAAATTAGATAGAAAGAGACGGACTACAAGAGCGAAGAAAAACCACTCGCGCGTTTAGCTACGTAAATTCTCAAACCATTCCACGCATATTGCGTGTAGTTCCGATTTATCGTCAAAGAAAATTCGATATGCGTTCGTCTAATATTAAAACATAATATAGCGTCTTTAAACTAGGTTAAAGTTGTTCTCGTTTTGAATATTTTAAATCATTAAATTATGATATGATACATTATACTTTACGCCAGTAAAGCGGAGTTTTTTTTTTTTTGTTCAAATAAGAGTATACAACGGAGTGCTAGGAAAGAGCTGCAGTAGTATGATTTTTAACCTTAATTTTACATGTCATATAACTGTGCGTATTTTGATCGATATTTTCCATATTAATTCTTAATATTCTCCGATAAATTATGAAACTTACTAAAAACAATGAAAATGAAACACCCGATTAATGGTGAACACTGATTAATTATAATGTATACACTATACATCCGCTTCTCGTAAACTGTAATCGAGGATAAACACTGGGTGTCAAAAATAATGTTACGATGATGAGTAACATGTACCTTAAGTCGTGGATTCTAGTATGAGCCATTATAGCTCTTTGATTTCTGAATTCTCAAGAGTTCAAGGTTAGATTGGAGGAAATTAAATCTTTGTTCGTGCAATTATGAGTGATAAATTAAATATTATATTCATACCTGAATAATTGTTCTTATTTACATTTAACGTCACTATAGTTCTAATAGTGTTTGTGAGATTTTCAAATTTTAAAACAAATATTGAAACAACTCCTATCAATATTAGTTCTAAATAAATAAAAAGTTAAATTTTTAAAAGCCCATTGTCAAATTATTTGAATCACCTCATTAATGAACAACTACAAATTCAATRGAAAAGTTTTGAAATAAAAAAAAATGTCTCAAATTGATATTATCGTACAAAATCATGCCATTTTATATGGAACAGCGTTAAATCTGGAACTAAACCACTCATGAATAGTCAAACTTCACAAAAAAAGTTTTCGAGTTAAGTCTATTGAACCATATATCGACTTCGATTTTCCTGTCGTAAAAAAACTATTTTTCGCACGATTTTAAGTTCTATGAAATAAATGACAATAGTAATGCAATTCACTTTTAAAATTCACCTCTAATGTTATATATATATATATATATATATTAGTTTCATCTTTCAAAAACACAAAATATTATAGATTGCATTGACTGTTGGGCAAAATGTGGGGCTGGTGTGGTGACAAATTCAACTTAAATATTAACTTTCAACTAAATTTATCAGCACTAGTTTCAGAAACATTCGCAATATAGGTATTCAATACTGAAATAAAAAATCGAAACATCGATAGTGAACAGCAAACGATTCGTAATCTTATAACACACTGTCTAGTTTTTTTTACTACACATCTTATATACTTATGCTATTGTGATCTCGTAATCACATAAAGCTCATGAATATAATTTTTAAAAATACATACTTTTAATTTTGTGGGATGGTGTGGATCAAATCGTCCAGTTGGGCTTGATTCACCCTGAAGGTCATCTAAATCTTTTGTTCTGACCATGCGTGTGATCAAAGCTAATCCATCCCTCCGGAAGTCAGTTGGCAATTTAGGCACAGACATGATGATCTTCTTACGGTGAATAATTCTTTAACTGAAACTCTACAAAGAAATATAGGTTAAAAATAATATTTTTTTAAATGTATTTTATAAGATTTGATATGAAGATATATTTTTAAAAAAAAAACAATTATTACAGGGGCTAAATTTATTTACATCAATTAGATCAAAGTGTATAAAATAACACCGTGACAAAATATTTAAACTTTTTTATGCCTATTTCAGTAAACTTTTTCGAATATTATAATTTTTCAAAATAAMCTTTTAATATTTTTATTCCGTAAATGTTTTACAATAAACAAAAATGTGAGTATGGTATTACAGTGACAATGTTTGTAAATAATTCGTCTCATTTCATTCAAGTTATCGCAAAACAAAAGGGTATTTGTTGGATTTATAACGAGAATAAATAATTTACCAGCTAACACTCAATATTGTTACAGAGTAAAATAATTTCAGCATTAAATAAATCTAAAATTGAATGTGAATCATTCAATCATTCAATCATTTATTAAAATAACATAAATACCTAATAAAATGTATAATTTATAATTAAAAAATTAAAAAAACACWAGCAATCGGTCTAAGAATCAACAAATAACAATGAATATAATTTAGTTTATTCTCTCAACATTTCAAAAATGATTTATTAGATATTATATATTTTATGTAAAATTACTATTACCTAAAGTAATGTATATTATTCAATTAGGTTCTCATTTTACTTCATATTACTCATAAAGATCAAGATAAACCAGATATTAAATCTACCAGTTATCTGAGAATTATTTCTAGGTTGTAAATTTTTATTCTATAATAACTATAAAAACTTTACTTTAAATTAATTTTATCAGAAATTTTGAATCGTTAGAGATAACTTAAAAACTACTCGTAAAAACAGATCTAAAAATATGAAAATAAGGAAGGGGGTACTGCATTTATTTTCAAAAATATGATACTTGTAATTTTAGAACATATTAGGTATTAGAAAAATAATATATTTTCAAAATTGTGACTATAATACTAAAAAGTAGTTAAATAGTTTTCTTTTAACCCATCATTGTTTTTGTCTTGAAAATCTATTAATTACTAATTTATTAATTGATTCAAAATGGGAAGGGGAGGGGGGTTAAAGCCTCCCCCCTTAAAATCTTAACTGTATTCGTATAATAATTTATTTTAATTTCACTAAAATGTCGCTTTAGTCACAATTGTCAAAGGTTGAATTAGATGAAAATATAAGATTATCTAAAAATTATACCAATTCCTAACTTAATAAAGCTACAATACACATATACACAGGTGATTCATCAATCATGGTTACCCCCAATTTTTTCTTTAGTAATGAATTTATTCAAATTCAAATTTTTAGAATTTTCAAATATACTCAAAGACCATATTTTTTAATTCTTGAGATTTTTATTTACTACTCAAGGAGTGTCTTGTGATGATACAAACTTCTGTTTTTCGAATGAGAACCCTCTTTTTTACTTTAAATTATTTAGTGGATATATTTTTTTAAATTTTAATGTACCAATTTAAAAATTCGAATGAGTAGTTTCTTAGTTATTAAAATATTTGTACTAAGGATAATGGTCCTTAAAAATCGTTCTGCAAAAGTATAAAATACAAGTACTATTGGAATTATAGTATTTATGTTCCTTAGATCCTTTTTACAAATTATTTATGTTGATTGATTAATATTAATGACTTATATCTTTAAATCCAGCATAGACCACATATCTTATAAACCTAATCCATAGACCTTATATCCTTAGAACAATAAATTAAATAACTAAAAATGACTGATTAAAAATTTGATTTCAATACATCAAAATTTTCAAAAAAGCTATGTAATAAATAATTCACAGTAAAAAAGGGAGGTTCTCGTTCGAAAAACAAAAGTTTGTATCACCACAGTATATACCTTAAGTAAAAACTCTCAAGAATATTAAAATATGATCTTCGAGTATACTTAAAGATTCTAAAAATCAGATTTTAAATAACTCCATTATTAAAGAAAAAAGGGGGTGAGCATGCTTGGTGAATCATCCTGTATAACAAAAATTTTACAATAATCTAAGATGGAAATTACGCACGTTTCACCACTCAAGTTCAGAGGTAAGAAGGTATACTTAAATACAAATATAACAAATATTTGCATTATTGTTCAACTTCTATAAACAAAAATTTATTAGAGGATTCTAAAACCGTCACGAAAAAATAAACATCAATGGTAATTCTCATTCATAAGTTTAAGGGGCAAAATAATAACACACAATATTATATTTATAAATATATACACGATATAAACATGTCTTCCTTTCTCTGACGTCACGCCGTTCATTGATCCGACTCCGTGCGTAGAGTGGGTGCGACGTAAATAATCATAAAAAAAAAACGACCGTATCACCTCAACCCATTAATTCATTGTTAAACCCCGTAGAACGGTTACGAAAATAATTTTAATTCTAAAGTACTCKGAGTTTTAAAATATTATGTTATGTACACATGCTTTGTTACATTAAAATGACCAGAAAGTTGTATTTTTTTCCTGCTGCAATTATTTTTACCATGCATTATTTAACGTTTCTAATTTGGATTTTGCTGCTGTTTAATTACAAAACCGACATTGATTAATCATATTTTGTGATTTGTATTGTATAGCAGTGCGCATTTTAACTGACCAAACTTGAACTTGTGTTTGAATAGGTATAAGCACTATAAAAATAGATACCTACCTATGTGATCTGTTATAATCTATGAGTAATCTATAATAATTATACCTTATTTTAAAATCGAATGTTTGATTTAATAATGAATTATAACTTGTTATTATTTTATTCGATTTTAATAGTTATTTTTTCAAATGTCTACAAAATTCATTAGGATAGAATGTAAAATATGTTATACAATATTGATTCAACGACTCAACGTGTTGAACAGAACAAACGATACATACGAATAAATGTTAACTCATTACAATTTCGATCATTGTTTGTACAAATAACTAAAAACTATGCAAAAATATTGTGTACTTGGCAATGATCATTTTGCACAAATATTCGTAATAAATCAGGATTTGTTTCATAAATTAAAAACCAGAAGAAATAACCACTAAAAACTTTTAAATTACTTTTTTTATTACACTTATCGCTATCACTCATTTTCCAAAAGCTTAGTCATTTTCTTTTGTTGTTAATTTATACCATTTATTCAAAACTAAAATGATGGCATTCGTGTTTAATTCATGAATATTGCCGCTTTATAATATAGTCGAAGTCAATCTTTATTATACAGCCAGATAGACAGAGTAATGAATTTCTGTCACCTAATTGTTAACATTGAACAGAGATCTAGACTTAAACAAATATCTATGTATTTCGGATATCATTTTTAAGAATTTGTTTAGAATTGATTTTTAAACATAGATTTAAATAAAATAACGTTGAATTAGATAGCAAGACTACGATACATATTATTACGATCATGCAGCAATCTACTTGTGTTTAATCCAGTTGAATTCAAAACGTGTACATAATGTCATTACCCACTTGTATTTTAATAAGAATCATAAACACTAAAAGAGAAGGGATTTATATTCTATAGAAATGTAGTTTGATTATTAATTGATTTGCATAATATTATAATATAATGCATATGTCTACCTATATTTCATAGATAAATAATTATATATAAAAAATAATAATGTATAAAAATTTTGAATTATTCTACATCATATTTCTGTGATAATATAAAATTATTATGGTACCTACTCTAGTGTAGGCACTAGGTATACATGTTGAATATGTAGGTATGGTATAACTTTAACAAATACAAAAATGATTATATTTATTGTAACAATAGTTTGATAAAAATAATAATAACAACTAAAAAACCATAAACTTAAAATGTGACTTACTATAATTTATTCGGATCATCTTATATAAAACAACTGCTATATATAAAACATAATCGTATTATAAAATATAATACGATAATAATAGTATAAACTTTAAAATCAGTTCTTCGTTAGACACCGCACAGTCAACACGTACCTTATCGCGTCTCACGAGTACCGTTTTTAATAGCTTTCGATAGCAGTACAGCATACAACCTGCACTCACCGTATCTCAGGTAACATGCTCGTTAATTACACTATTAGCTAATACACAATAAACTCCGGGCGCAAGGCCTAACCACCAAAATGCAAACTTCAAAACCATCGGCTTTSMAAAGCCCTTCAATCCGTAGAGCAGTACAAACTAACATTGTTCAAAAACCAAAAATAAAAACCTCTCCAACCAATACAACAAAAATCATCGCTAAACCCATTTCACCCAAAATAGCATCAGACCTTAAGCTTCAACAACAATCTACTTCTACAAAGACA